TTGCCTAATGCAATATGTCATTTGATTTCTTGACTGCTGCTTCTATGAGTGTTGATGATTGATCTGAGCAAAATGAAGTTTGTGACAATGTCAATCTTTTCTCCATTTATCTTGATGTTATTTATTGGTCCATTGGTGAAGATTTTTGTTTTCTTTACATTGAGGTGCAACCCATACTGAAGGCTGTGGTCTTTGATTTCCATCAGTAAGTATTTTGAGTCCTCTTCACTGTCAGCAAGTAACGTTGTCTCATCCACATATCACAGGTTGTTAATGAGTCTTCCTCCAACCCTGATGCCATGTTTTTTTATCATATAATCCAGCTTCTTGAATTATTTGCTCACCATACAGATTGAATAAGCATTGTGAAAGAATAAATCATGGCGCATACCTTTCTAATTTTAAACCATTCAGCGTTCCCTTGTTCAGTTCAAACAACTGCCTCTTGGTCTAGATACAGGATCCTCATGAGCACAATTAAGTGTTACAGAATACTTATTCTCTGCAATGTTGTCCATAGTTTGTCATGATCCACACATTCAAAAGCTTTTGCATAGTCAATAAAGCACAGGTAAACATCTTTCTGGAATTTTCTGCTTTCATCCAAGATCCATCTGATGCCAGCAATGATATCCCTCATTCCATGTCCTCGTCTGAGTTCTACTTAACCCTCTTGCAATTCCGTCAATGTACTATTGCAGCTGTTTTTGAATTATCTTTAGGAAAATTTTACTTGCATGCAATACTAATGATATTGTCCAATGATTTCTGCATTTTTTGTTAGGACACCTTTCTTTTGAATGGGCACAAACATGAATCTCTTTCAATCAGATGGCCAGGTAGCTATCTTTCAAATTTCTAGGCATAGATGAGGGAATGTCTCCGTTGCTGCATCAATTTTTGAAAGATTTCAATTTTCATTTAATCAATTCCAGGAGCCTTGTTCTTTGCCAATACCTTCAGTGCACCTTGGACTTATTCTTCCAGTCCATTGGCTCTTGATCATATGTTACAT